CATACACTAGGGGTGAGCAAGAAAAATACAAAAACCAAACTGAATCTACGAGACTAAACCCAAAAATCCAGTTAACCGAACCGATCGGTTTAGTATCAGTTGATCAATATAAAAAAAAACTGACGGTTAACCAAACTGACTAGTATACATAACCTCCCCTACCGTTAACTCTCCATCATAAATCATTCACATGTGACATCACATGATTGATATATTGTTCAAAAATCCCTAAAATACCCTTTTGTCATAGAGAACTCAAGGCACCGAGACTGGGAGCGAGAACTCTGTTGCAGAGTTTCAAACCAAAGCACAACAAGACCAAAGACAACCTTTTTCTTCTCAAACCAAGGGGCAAACAAGCATTTGGATTTTCTTCATTTTTTCTGGTWTTTTTTTTCTTTTGGTTTCATCTCCAACAACTTCTAATAAGCCTAACATTTGGAGGGATCATCTATGATGATGATGGGATCCCCTACTACAAATTATGGAGACATAACCTTTAGAAATTAATTAGGTTGATCAAGAACAATTGTGTGTGTGTGAGAGAGAGAGAGAGAGAGACCCAAAGGATTAAGGGAAGACGAGAAAGCCTGAGATGCCCATAGCGTTAGTGGGATTCTAGAGCTCAAAGCGGTTGCAATAGGTGAGATCGGCTTTGCCAAATTTGTTAGTATTGGTTTTGTTGTGATTGAAGAGGCAAGGGAGCTAAGAAGCAACACTAGGGTCATCGAAATGTCTTTTCTGGTAAGGAGATTGAGAGGGTTGAAGTAGAGGGTATTGTTGACATGGAATGGCAGCCTGCAAAGCCGCATCACCCTGAACACTAGGGTGTGTGATCCTGCTGTGGCGCTCATGTCTCTCCACTTCCACTTCTCCCAATTCCCCTAATTGAGTTGCAAGAAGAAGCTCGGGGAATAAGAATGACTACTATTAAATTTGTTCTTTGTTATGTTTATAGCCTTTCCTGAATTCTTGCTCCATTCCCTTTCGAATTGAATCCAAATTTGCTTTTGCTTTGTCTAAATTTGAGGGTTTCCTCATTTTATCCAATGAAATGAAATAATCCCATAAAAGCTGAATGACTATATATTCACGTGTCATTCAAATTCAATTGACAGTAGCGGAGGGCTTTAGTAGTTACTGGTTAGCCACTTAGCATGAGTGGAATGATAGACATAGGACAGATCGCTAGTGAGGGTGTTCGCGAATAGAAAGTACATCGGTGAAGTGGGTCAGATATGACAAATGCATGACAATGGAGAACCAAAGAAGGTTTTAGAAGATTGTGATGTGGTGGATGATGGATGTAGCAACAACAGTGGCAGTAAAAATTTTCATCTGTTGAGTTTTATTTTGAAAATTTAAGGAATGGTGGAGGACAAATTCGATATTTCACTTTTTTGTTAGTGCTTAACGACGCTGTCAAAAATAATAGGGATACTTTAAGACAATAGGTAAACAGTAAGTGTAGAGTTAGTCAATTAGCTAAACCATAAAGATATTTTAAGAAATTTATTATTTAAAATATAATATTATATATATATATATATATATTTAGTTTTTATTATATATTTAAAATTTATTTATAATACATACTATACATATAAAAAAAACAAAAAAACGATAAATTGAACCAACGATAAAAAGAACCAATCAACCTGTYGATTTTGGTTAATTGGTTTTCCAAAAACCGGTAATACCAATTCGGTCCAGTTTCAAAAATAGGCCATGAGCACCCCTACCGTACATTTTGACATATACCAATACTTTAAACCTTGAACAAAGAACATTGTAACTGTTTATTCATATTTTGGTGAAAACTTATTTATTCAATCATGGTTGCACAATTAATGGAGTAATAAAATAGTAAAATACATGGACTATCACATATGATACTTTGAACCTGGTGGGAGTGCGTTTGTATATTCACAACAATAGAGAAGGCCACCGCTCTAGTATTACCGTATTAGTATAAAAACATTGTCACCAAGTCAAAAGATGACTTGGCAAATTGCAATAATAAGCCATAGACCATGTTTGGGACTGCTTATGTTAAAAATAAGTACTTAAAAACAAGTGTTTATTCGAATAAGTACTTATTTGCATTTGACACCCAATTTTTTCAAGTGCTTATTTCAAAATTTCATTTTATTTTATTGGGCGTTTGGTGGTTTTTTTCTCTAACAAGTACTTAAATAAGCAATTGTGAATCTTTTGTCCTTCATTTTATTTCAAAATTTCAAAAAATCCAATCCAAAATGAATCAATATAAATACTTTGATAGAAGTGCTTTTGTAAAAGTACTTTTACAAAAGTGCTTTCATAAAAATACTTTGATAAAGTTACTTCTGTAAAATACTTTTGTAAAGTGCTTTTATAATAATACTTTAGTAAAATTACTTTTATAAAAATGTTTTTATAAAAGTGCTTTTGTAATAGTACTCTTTATAAAAATGCTTTCATAAAAGTATTTTTGTAAAAGTGTGTTCGTAAAAGTACTTTCTAAAAATACTTTTATAAAAGTGCTTTCGTAAAAGTACTTTTATAGAAGTGCTTTCATAAAAGTACTTTTATAAGTGTTATGTAAAAATACTTACAAAAGTGCTTTCCTAAAAGTACTTTTATAAAAGTGCTTTTGTAAATGTACTTTACTTTCATAAAAGTAATTTTCATAAAATTATTTTTCTAAAAGTTCCTTTGTAAAATTGTTTTTGTAAAAGGGTATAATTGGTATACTAAAAATTCACCAGGGACAGTTATGGGAGAAAAAAAATTGAATAAATGCTTATTGTATGATTACTCAAAAAAGCTGAAAATTTGGACTTAAAAAATAGGCCATTACTTTTAAAATARGCACTTATTTTAGGCTTATTTCCTAAACACGAATAAGTGCTTAATGATATGATCCCCACCCAAATCACTTATTTTTGAGCACTCCCAAACATGGCCATAGTATATTTGAACCTATAAACCTGCTTTTAGAGAAAGCTTTTATAAATTCTTCGATAAACAACTAATGAAGCAGTAAAAAAAATGGCCTTCTGTTCAAAATATCATAAGAGTACTACAAAGAATAATGGAAAAGATACTTCAGCAATACAAAGTAGCAAGGTTCAAAGTATATACATATACTTTGCCTTATGGGGACCCAAATGAGATGTATATACATATACACTCTCCCAGCTTGGTGGTTGRTTGGGGATTCTACTTCACACGCGTGCACCAAGCTGGGTTGGATCGGGTTATAATAGCCATACGTATTGTSCTAGTAATGAAACTTTTGCAACTTGCCATTATGGGGACCCAAATGGGATATATATACACATATATTCTCCCATCTTAGTGGGTGGTTAAGGATTCTATTTTACATGTGCGTGTTGAGATAGGTAGGGTCAGGTGTGGGTACCAAGGTTCAAAGTATCGATACATATCGGCCCGTATCGACCGATACGTATTGTTCCAAGACCCTTCTGATACGCCCTTACAGTGGGTGTATCAAGGGTTTGACCGGTTCAGGGGGTGGAGGAACCTTAAACCGGCCACCCTGAACCAGTTGCGAAAAAAAAACAATAAAAAGCAGTATCGATTCACCCGATATGCCCCTACCGACATACCGGGCGTATCGATATTTTGAACCTTGGTGGGTACATAAATTTTTTAATTCTTATAAGTTTTGTGTCTTTTTCTTTTTGTTTAAATTCAAATAAATGAATCCCTCTCTGCCATAACCATTAATGGCGTTCCTTGTAAATGGTGTCTTTTCGTTTTTTTTTTTAATTCAAATAAATGAATCCCTCTCCGTCAATGTTCAAAATATCGATACACGCGATACACCGGTATGGGTGTATCAGGCGAATCAATACAGCTTTTGATGCCTTTTTTTTTTGCAACTAGTTCAGGGAGGTCAGTTTAAGGCTCCTCCACCCCCTGAGCTGGTCAGACCCCCGATACACCCACTGTAGGAATATATCGGAGGGGTCTCAGAATGACACGTATTGGTCCGTAATCATTAACGGCGTTTCTCAAAAGTCACCACCTTTTTCACTTGCATTGGAAAGTCTATTTATGCCCATGCACAAATCACTCTTTGCATTCACTCATTTTCTCCATTCTCGAGTTGTGAGATCGAGTGCACGGTTTCTAAGGTTGTTGAATCCAGGAGCAGAACGTTGAAATTCGTGTATTACACCGGATTTGATCCAGAGGAGGCAAATTCTGCTTAATAACAGTGTTTCAGACATGCCTCGGCTGACAAGTCTTCTTAACCTGCTTTTACATTTCTGCCCTTTTACACATTCACGGTAGCATCCTACTGCACACACTATACAATTCACATACGTATTGGCCCACTAATGAAACACCCAAAGGGTGTTAAGACAGCTAGGTAGGTTTTGTTTTTGAAAAGAAAAATAACTGCCATGTTAGCAAAACCAATATAATTTTTCAATAATTTATGTGGAGTGTGTAACTACCAAGTTACACTTGTGTAGAATCTTGGCTGCCAAGCGTGAGAATGTGAGTTCATGTCTAAAGGTGGTCATTTTCTGCAAAAAAAAAAATGCCAAAGATTAAAGACTCCGGTTTATCCCTCTCAAGACCCTGGGTAGCTGGGATCAAAATTAATGTTTTTTATTTTTTTTCCGCTACTACCATGATACACTTGAAAACGATAAGATCTGGTGGAAGAATTAAGATGCATAGGTACATTTATGAAACCAATATAAATCTGAGTAGTACTTGAAAAAAATACTAATTTTAATGAAGATGCAGATCCGGACTACTCTACAATACGATACTGGCTGATACTGTGCAACATGGATGGAATTGCACATGGACTCTAGTAATCTACTCATGCCATGTGCTGACCCAGTGACCCCCTTGAAAATCTAATACAATGTAGGTCATATGATCCACATCATATTGATATTTTGAACCTTTGATGTTAAAGAGAAATATGGTATTGATGTGCACAAGTAGAAAGCTAGTGATGCAACTTACAAGTGTTACGAGATTGAAAGGTTAGCTTCATTCTAAGTATGGGTTAGGATAAAGACACAAGATATCAATTACCATTTTTCCTCCATGAGATATAATTGCATATCAACTTTGCAGCAAGTTATGAGACTGAATCATCTGGAATATATAAATTAGACAACAAACAAAACAAATAGGACCTTGGCCTCGTTATTCTAGCTTAACCAATGATGGTTTTAAAGCAAGCTTGTTAAGAGCAGCATTGGTCCTTTCCTCATTGATTGTTTTATAGTTGTCATAGAAGTCCAATATCTCCATAGAGATGTTCTTTACCTGCAGAATACCATGGTAGTCCATATTTGAGGGATGCCAGAATGTCAGAAAATGAACAAGTGCACTACCATTCTTTTTTTTTTATTGTTAATCATCATCATCACTAAGTGCACTACCACTCTGGGGAATACAAGTATAAACTTAACATTCACATAAGTGGATGGTACAAGAAAAACTAATGAAGTACAAAAAAAAAATAATAATAAATAAATAATGAAGTACAAATGTGTACAAAATTATAGCCTCAGAGTATTTGTTTGACATTCTATGGCATTCTATCAAAACGAGAGTATTTGTATGGCATTCCTCCACCTCTTCCTACATGAGAATTGGTACTAATAAGACATGGATAGGGTACTGTAAGAGATCGCATGATAAAATCTTAGAGAGGAAAGTGGTGATTTCAGGAAGTATCTCCATTGAGGAAGCGGCTAAAAAACATGTAGAGTTCAGCAAAAGCCTGGGTCTGTTTTTCTGGGGTGGAGAGGAATTTGCTAGGAAGGCCTTTGAAAAATTTGAGAGGAAGAAGAGAGAAGAAACCCTGAAGGAGAAGGAAAACAGAGGTGGAGGTGGAATGAAGACGTCAACTGTCAGGAGGAGGTTTTTGAAGGGGAAGATTAGGGCCTTGGTACCAATAGGATTGCTGTTGCTCGTGTAGAAATCCTCTTTTTTATTTTAAAGTCTTGTAGTTGGTGGAGTTTCTGAGTCAGTAGTCATGTTTTCTCTGGGGTGATATCTTATCACCTTCCTTATTGTTAAACAACATAAAATCGCTCTGATACCATGTCAACTAACATAAAACATAAAATGAAATAGCAAACCACGGAGAAAAGATAAGAAGAAATAGAGAGAACACCAAGATTTAATGTGGTTCATCTTGGTAGCCTACATCCACGGGAGGAGAGGAAAAATATCCACTATGAGAACAAGAAATACATGATTTCACTCTCACACTCTCTCTTCTCTCACTATTCTCACTCCTCCTCACTCACTCTTCCTTAAACCCTAATCTCATACAACCACTAGCTTAAATAAGCAACAAACCGAAATATATCAGAATTACACAGAAGCCCCTTTTTTCCCAGAAATGCATATAGGTTGCCACAATTTATCAATATTACAAATATACCCAAATACAACCAAATATAATATTTCTCTCAACACACTCCCTCAAACATAGTGTTTTAAAAGTGCAAGGGTCAATTTGCACCTGAGGCACAATTCGCAAGGCGCAAGGTGAGGTGCACGCCTTCTTAAGAAAGGCGCAAAACTACAAAAAAATCTAAAAAATAAAAAAAGTCAGAAAATTTAAAAAAAATGAAAAAAAATCAAAAGATATTAAACATAATGTTAATAAAAAATATAAACATAAATTTTAAAATAAATGTTTTAAAAAACCAATTATCTAAAATTAAAATAGATAAAAATAACATGTAAAGCATATTCAAATGAAGATTTAAAAATAAAAGCAAACATATAAAGCATTTTCAAGCATGTAAAACCTACAATCTCATTTTTTCCTTATTTGCATTGCTTCAAATTGCTAATGTGACGTAAAACATATTGCATTCTTGATTCTATGAGTCGCCTTTGTGCCACGCCCCTCGAGGCAAGCCTTAGGGGGTTCTTAGAGCTTCGACATGTGAGAAATAAGAATTTCAAACCCTAACATAGACTTGTTCAGGCTTGCCTCGAGGGGCGTGGTCAGGGGTTTGGGGCCGGAGCCCCCAGCCTAGCCGTTAGACTCAAAGAAAGGCAAAAGGCACAAAATTTTAAAAAGGTGCATGCCTAGGTTGAAGCACAAAGCGCATCAGGCGCACCAGGTGTGTGCCTTTTGAAAGGGGTGCACCTAGGACTTGGGTGAGGTGCATACCCCAAAATGCACCTCGCATGTGTGCCTAGGCGTGCCTCAGGCATGCCTTTTAAATCACTACTCAAACTCAAGGTGGGAAAACCGGCTTGAGTTTGCAAGGATGTTAAAGCAACCTTCATGGAAATAGGTTTACTATTGAAGCAGCAGTAGCCATGAACCTTGAGATGTTGAAGGAACCTCCGAAGCAATAGTTCACTGATGCACCAAGGGAGCTTCACACTTTCACCAAGAGAAAGTTGAAGGAACCTCGTATAAGAGTGCGAGGAGGTAGCCCCATCCTAGAGAAAGTTGAAATAGCCACCAGTGAAGTCCTCTACTTGGTTAGAATTTGGCCGGAGATCTTCACTTCAGCTCGAAGATGGAGACCAGACAATCTAGGAAAGGGAGAAGCTCACAAAAAAGGGAAACAAGGGTCAGAGATTTCAAGAACGTTGGTTCTGGAAGGAGAAAACTTCACCTATCAAGATGGTAGAAAAGATCGGTCCTACAGCCTTCTGCCGTCCCCAAGAGTATCGGCGGGAACAATACCAGTTCAAGAAGTCAGAGGAAGGTGCTCTTAGCAGAAGAAATGAGGGCCATCCGATCTCTTTGCCTTCGGACGAACAGGATGCTGAAGAAGGAATAGGGACTGAGGAAAGCTTTCAAATTTTGAAGTGTAGGGGGGGAGGAGGGATAGCTGTTGAAAAACTAAAAGAATTGATTAAAGTTTGTCTGACAGAGTTACAAATGGAACCTTCAGGCCGACAAGTGGAGAAAGGGGAATCAAGGAAGATTTTAGGGGAGAAAGGTCAGGCTTCAGTTGAGTTAGGGATGTAGGTAGGCGACACTTGGGCCCAAGAGAAAAATCCAACTACCCATTCGACCCGAAAGAGAGCTGAGAAATATGCCCTTGACCCGATAGAGTTAATGAGCGAGCCACGTGTGCTCAACTTCGAGCCTCCTAGTTTATACCCAGCTCTGTCTGATTCAAACCGGGCCAACCAAACACCAGTCTTAGCCATGGATCTCCGTTCTTTATCGGAAAACCCAATTGCCAACTAGATAGAGGTGGAGGGAAGAAGTTTGAGGGAGGGTGTTGGTTCTCCTTCTCTTATACATCGGGGACAGTCGTCAACTCCCCAGGTGGTTCCAATGGATCAGACGAAGAGTCTGAACCTCACCCTAGCAAGGCTAGATGAAGAAGTTTTGGAGGTGATACCGATTGCAGTTATGGTCAACTTAGAAGACAAAGGAAAGATGAGCGCTCCCTTGTTTTCGTAATCAAATCAAGGGGCTCCACACTGTTCCAATGGAATGTCAAGGGTGACGATGAATTCAATCTTACGAATGTCAAACAATATAGGTACGTTGGTTGAGTCCCTGCCACTTTCATCCTGGGTAACCTCGAAACTTTTGGGGTTGGGTAAATTTTTGGGGATTTCTTTGGAAGGTTTTGAAAGGGAAACAATCAAATATCCAGAAGTGGAATAGAGGACTCTGCTTGAAAGAGGAAAACTGGCGGCTAGAAAAGGAGGGGGGCTTCTTCGAAGAAAAACAGAGAATTGATGAGGTTGACCTGGGGGCTAAATGATAAGGCAGGTAGTAGTGGTGGGACCTCGAGGAGTCACAAATAGTAGCTTGGAGGAGGAGTGGATCTCTTTTCTTTTATCTTTTCCTTTGGAATTAAAAATTCTTTCTTGGAATGTAGGGGGTCTAGGGTCGGGAAGAAGAAGGTTGGTGGTGAGTGATGCTATTAAAAGATCGAATTCACAAATTGTGCTTTTGCAAGAAACTAAGCTGGAAGTTCCTGAAGGCAGGTGTAATTAGGAGTATTTGGGGGGAGGGCCAAGTTAAATGGAGGGCAAAATCAGCTACCGGAAGTGCTAGGGGCATATTGACTCTTTGGAATCCTATGGTCTATAAACTTATATCTTTTAAAGTTGACCTTCAGTAGYTGGATTAGAGTCTCTTCTGGGAGGAATTGGCTGTCATGAGAGGTTCTTTATCTTGTCCATCAGTAATTGGAGGGGTCTTCAACGCCACCTTATCTTCAGAGGAAAGAAATTCTGGAAATAGAAGGACAAGGGAGATGAGCTTGTTTGCTGAATTCATAAATAATTTTGAGCTTTTGGGCATTCCTTTAATAGGAGCTCAGTTTACCTGGAGAAACAATCAGGAGGTTCCTACTCTGGTTAGGCTGGACAGATTTCTTGTCTCTTCAAATTGGGAGGTCTTTCCGGATTTTAAACAGTTGTCCCTTCCTAGGCCTGTTTCAGATCATACACCAATTCAGCTAGTCTGTGGGGGCAGGGAAAAAGTAAAGACTCCTTTCAAGTTTGAGAATTCTTGGTTTGAAGAAGATGACTTTATCTCTCTCCTGAAGTTAGTGTGGTGTGAAGTCCTGGTGGAGGGTACTAGTTCTTATATTCTTGCGAAGAAAATGGGAGAAATTAAAGAAAAGGTCAAAAGCTGGAAGCTAGAGAACTTACTTGAAAACTATTTCAGATATTGATAGGGCAGAAGAGGAGGGTCTAATCTCTGAAGAGTTCAGACTGAAGAGGGTTCAGGCTAAGATAAACTTTGACAAGGGGACTGTGAAAGAAGAAATTAAATGGAGACAAAGAGCCAAGGTAACTTGGTTAAGGCTAGGAGAAAGAAATTCTCATTTCTTTCATAAAATGGCAAATGCTCGAGTGAGAGCTTCTTCAATCAGCAAGCTGGAATGGGAGGATAGAGTTGGGGAATCAGTAGCTGGAATCAAATCAGTAGCCACCTCTTTCTACAAGAATCTTTACAAGGAAACTTGGGTCAAGAGACCTTTTCCTTTGGAGATAGCCTTCAAGCAACTAAGTTCATATCAGAATCAGCTTATTGAGAGGCCTTTTTCAGAAGAAGAAATTAAGTCAGAAATCTGGAGTTTGGATGGTCACAAATCTCCTGGGCCGGATGGACTGTCTAACTTGTTTTCATCAAATGTCGGGACTTTGTAAAGTCTGATTTGTTGAAGGTTTTCCAGGACTTCCATAGTAATGCATCCTTGCAAAGAAGTCTTAACACCATCTTCATTTCATTGATCCCAAAATTGGAAGGGGCTACAAATCTTAGGGATTTTAGACTCATCAGCCTTTTGAATGGTTTCTATAAAATTCTTGCAAAAGTGCTGGCTGCAAGCATGAAACAGGTGTTAAGTAGTGTAATCTCAAAAAATCAGTTTGCTTTTGTCCCGGGGAAACAAATGCTTGACTCTGTCCTTGTAGCAAATGAGCTAATTGATTCAAGATTAAGGGAGGGTTCTCTGGGCCTTGTAGTTAAGCTGGATATAGAAAAAGCATATAACCATGTAAACTGGAGGTGTCTGGATTGTGTGCTAGAGAAAATGAACTTTGATCAGAAATGGAGGAATTGGACCAAAGTATGTGTTTCCTCTCCCAAATTCTCAGTGTTGATTAATGGTCAGTCTGCAGGGTTTTTTTTTAAGTTCTAGGGGCCTTAGGCAGGGGGACCCTCTATCCCCTTTGCTCTTCATTTGCATAACAGAACTCCTGTCCCAATTCACCCTTAAGGCAGCAGCTAATGGTCTGTGGGAAGGTTTTGCTATAGCCCCGGAAGCGGAAAAAGTCAATTTATTGCAGTTTGCTGATGATACTTTCTGTTTCCTTGATGCCTCAACTGATCAGTTGGAGTTATTACTTGGAATTCTTTGCTGGTTTGAAGTAGTCTCAGGTCATAAAGTAAATCTTCATAAAAGCAAAATCATTCCACTGGACCCTGTTCCAAATCTGGAAACCTATGCAAGGTTGATGGCTTGCCAGGTGGAATTCCTTCCAGTGAAGTACCTAGGCCTTCCCCTAGGAAAGTGTTCTTCTGCTATCTGGGATCCAATCACTGAGAGAGTGGGAAAAACACTGGCCTCTTGGAAGGCTAAGTATTTGCCTATAGGAGGGAGAGTGACCCTTATCAAAAGTACACTGGCCAACCTCCCTACCTACTTCATGTCCCTTTTTCCCATTCCAACTAAAATAGCGAAGAAGCTTGAGAATTTGCAGCAAAATTCTCTGGAGAGGATGGGAAGAAGAGAGCAAAATGCATCTTGTGAATTGGGACCAAGTATGTTTGCCTAAAGCTGAGGGGGGTCTGGGCCTAAGAAGGTTGAAGGTGGTAAATTCAGCTATGTTGTGTAAATGGTGTTGGAGGTTTGCTTCAGAAAGATTCTCTTGGTGGAGGTCTTAATTGCCTCAAAATATGGGGTGGATTGGGGAAATTGGAAGTCTCAGGATCCATTCCCAAACTGGGGTTGTTAAGGTGGGAAGTGGTGGTAGGCTGAAATTTTGGAAAGATCCCTGGTGTTTGGACAGATCTTTAGCAGAGGCTTTTCCCCTTTACCAATGTGCAGCTAACCAGGAAATATCAGTGGCGGATTCCTATGTTTTGTCTAACAATATAGTGGTATGGAATCCTCAATTTAGAAGAGATCTGTTCGATTGGGAAATAGATGGGGTACTGCAGCTATTGCAGATATTACAGGAGCAGTCCATAGATATTAATAGTGAAGATGAATGGAGTTGATCCTGAAGTAGGGATGGCTGATTCTCAGTCAAATCCCTTACTTCTAAACTCAGTAGAACAGGGGTTACTAACTTTCCCTGCCATCAAGTGTGGAATTCTAGTTCTCCCTCGAAGTCTAACTTCCTTGTGTGGACAATGGTGCTGAACAAATGCCTCTCAAGAATCAATCTGGATAGAAGGGGTCTTCATCTCCCTTCTCTGTTGTGTGGTTTGTGTGGTCTATTGCCTGAATCCACAGACCATCTGTGTATCCATTTCCCTATCTCTTCCAGAGTTTGGTTTCATTTTATAGGGGCTGTTGGTCTTTGTTGGGTCATGCCAAATTCAGTTAAAGATCTGCTGCTTTGCTGGGATATTCAAGGCCTGAAGAAAAAGGAAAATTAATATGGAGAACCATTCCTGCAGCTGTGATTTGGGTAATCTGGTCAGAAAGGAACAGAAGAGTCTTTAGCAACAAATCAAAGAGCACTGAGGAGATTGTGCAGCAGGTGGTCAGCAAGTTGATTTCTTGGGTGTCTGTAGACCCTGATGTTATTAGGGAAGTGGAAAAGATTGCAAAGGAGGTAGAGGCTGAATTCAAATGGGTCAATAGGAGCACAAACGGGCTAGCTTATTATCTTGCCAAACAAGGGGCACTGAGGCAACAATTGTTTTGGGCTGCGCTGTAAAGTGGGACAGAAATATACTAGTCTGGGAGCATTATTCCCATCTACAAGCTGTAAAACTTTATTTTAAACTTATTTTAAATAAAACTCTCTTTTGCTGATCAAAAAAAATAAAAAAAATAAAAACTGGTTTTCACAAGAACTCTCTGGTTGCCTTTAAAGATTACTACCTGCACAACCAGCCCCTTGTACCACAGTAGTCATCACACCACAGCAATAAATTCCAAGAGAACATTGATATCATAAGAGGATGGCATATAATGAGAGTCATCAAGGACTGAAGCTTGGGACATCATTAAATTATAGAGAAGTTATCATGGAAGATGGCTGTTGGGTGGTGGTGCCCTGGATCACATAAAATATACTGGGACCATGGCTATTCAGGAATGTAGTAAGGGAGATAAAGAACTTGGTAGAAGAGGCAAGCCAAATTGTTGTAAATCAACATTCTTTTACACTAAACCAATAAAATGTGAATCACTTATAAAAAAAACATGCCATGGTGTCTTTCTCATGGTAATACAAATAAAGAAATTGAAAATTCAGATCTGAAGGAAGACATACCACATTCATGTCAACACGAAGTTCTTCAAACCATGCAGTGGTGTCTTTCTCTTTGAGTACACTTGCTATGTATATGCAAGCTAAAGCAATCATGTACGGTGGGTAGATAAGAATGAGATCCATCTTATAGGTGTCATTGACAAGACCCCTGTGCAATTAAAAACAATTAATTAGATCATAATGGATTTTCTTAACACCACAACTGTATTTACCAACATTTTTACAAATGTCCCAATTTTGGAAAGCATAACACACTCATCAAGGTAAGACAGAGTAGGTGCAAAGCAACAGCTTTGAAAAAAATAAATAGAATATTCCTTTTATTGGAGTAAAATATATTCAGAAGAGGTTGTCTAGTAAAAAAGAGAAGGATAAAAAGAAAAACATATACATCAACATATAAAATTAAAAAAAAAAAAAGAAACAACCACAAATTGTTTTCACAGTTTGCTCATTTTAAAAATCCTCTAATAACCAGCCGACACACTAATAGATAGTCGATAATTGTGAATTACAATTAAAAGAAATAGAAAACTATTTGAAGACAAAGCTTGAGGAAGAGACCAAGTTACTGTGATTTGTTGAAAAAGAATCATGGATTGGATTCTCATTCTACTGGAATTTGAAGGAATTTCCAATGAATCAATTGGAAGTGGTTTTTGGTCTTCATTTGACTTAGAAACCAAGGAATTAATGTCTTTGTTTTTTATTGTCTGGATTATTTCTTTAAATTTTGGGCTGTTAGCTTGGTGATTTCTCATTACCCTCTTCGATGTAATCCTTTTTTTTCTTTGTTTTTGATAATTATAATATTTYTTCTTTTATTAATAAAAGTTCTTTTTTATTTTATTATTAAAAAACACATATAAAGAAGCATAATATTATTCTCAATCCTGCCATTCCCCTATCTTATACAGCAATATAATGGGCCTCACATGGACTTATTTCCCTAATCTAAAGACTCCTAATCACTCTCAAACTCATACATCCTTATATTTGGATCTATAAGGGGGTATCTACTGGTTTTGCCCCCAATAGACCTGTTTGTTCTAGCAAATCAAGAACATACTTCCTTTGTGAGAGAGATATTCCCCACTTTGACCTTGCTACTTCTATGCCCAAAAAATACTTCAAGTGCCCCAAGTCCGTAGTTTGAAACTGTTTCTGTAAATGTTTCAACTCTTCAATACCCTATTGATCACTTCCAATAATAATATTATCATCAATATTAACTGCCGAAACAATCTTCACCCAAGCAGTATCCATACTAACACGGAGTGATCAACACTACATTTTTCATCCTGAACTATTGTACAATGCTACTAAATCTTCCAAACCAGGCTCTTGGATAATTACACAAACCGAAGCCATCTTAGCTATGGGTGAGAAGGTATTATTAGTATAGTGAACTCCATAAGTCTGCATATACCATTTTTCCACCAAACATGCCTCATACCTCTCTACATTGCCATCTGCTTGGTGTTTCATGGTATAAACCCATCAACAACCAACCACTTTCTTCCTTGGAAGAAGAGAAGTAAGGTCCCAAGTGTAGTTAGACTTAAGAGCGTGAATTTTGTCATCCATTGCCTTCTTACATTCTGGTCACAGAAGAGCATCATGAACCGACTTGGGAATAGTCACAAATGAAAGCAAAGATACAAAGTTCTGATATGAAGGAGACAAATGAGTAAAGGAAACATAGCGAGAAATAGGGTGTTCAGTGCAAGCATGTTTACCTTTATGAAGAGCAATAGGAAGGTCTAAGTTGACTCAGCTGAAGAAAAGTAAGGAACATTCTCAAGAAATGACACATCTAGAAGCACAAAGGAATGGCAAAGAGTAGGACAATAACACTTATATCCCTTCTAGGTCCTAGAATATCCCAAAAATACACATTTAAGAGCAAAAAAATCCAACTTATCCAACTCCAGACCCAAATGATGAACAAAACATGCATAGCCAAATACCCAACGTGGCAAAGGAAATGAAGATTGAGAAGGAAAAACTGTAGGATCAATGAGGGCATACGATTAATGAGGAAGAAAGAAGTAAGAACAGCATCACTCCAGTATTTCTTAGGAACCGACATTTGGCTCAAAAGTGCTCGAGCAGTGTTAAGTAAATGTATGTTCTTCTGCTCAGCCACCCCATTTTGTTGTGGAGTAGAAGAGAAAGAGGACAGATATATAATGCCATGTGAGTCGAAAAAAGTATGAAAAGGACCCTAACATCTGAATGAATAAGTTCAAAAGGACTTGAGACTATTGTTTTCCCTTGAAACAAAGAAGACACGATGATGTTTACTAAGATAAGAGGCTTCACATAACAATTCATGGATAGACACTACTTTTGGAACAAGACTCTTGAGAGTAGGAAGTGACGGATGGCCCAACCAACAATGCCACTGTGACAATGTAGTAGAGGAATAAGGCATATTGCAAACCATCACCATCTAGATAGAACAATCCTCCAACTTCACACCCTCCACCAATCGTCTTCCCAGTCTTGAAATCTTGGAAGGCACAATAAGGAGGGAAGAATGAAATGGAACAATTCAAGGTTTTTATTAATTTACTAACTAACATTAGACCAAAAGGAAATTTAGGAACCTATAACATAGAGGGTAAAGTCAAATCCAAATGTAAGGTTACATTACCAGTACCTGAAACAATAGATAGTACCATCAGCCATGAAGAGATTAATGCCCTACATAAAAAACACTTGCGAACTGGTTGATCTTCCTAAAAGGAAGGATCCTGTTGGGAGTAAGTTGGTTTTGACAGTCAAACACATAGCTGGTGGGTCCATTGAGAGATATAAGGTACAACAAAAGGCTGCTTCACACAAACGTTTAATGTTGATTATTTTTCAAGACCTTTGCACCTGTTGCAAAGATGAACTGCATATGAGTTTTATTATCAATGTCAACAAATATGGGATGGCATCTTCATTGACTTGATGCAAAAAATGCCTTCTTGAGTGAGGACTAATGGGCTAAAGTAGTCACCAAGAGCTTGGTTTGGCCAATTCAACAAAGTTGTTTTGCAAATGGCATTTAAACAGTTTTAATCAAACCATACAATGTTTGTGAAGGGGGAAGGGAAGAAACTATATTGTTATCATAGGTGACTCGGAAACAGAGATATAGAAATTTAAGCAGTTTCTTGCTTCATGGTTTGTAGTTAAAGATTTAGGTCCCCTTAAATATTTCCTATGGGTTGAAGTTGCAACTTGTAAGGTCCAAGAAGAACATCTTCATTTCCCAATGGAAATATATCATAGATCTCTTACAGGATAGAAGGAAACTTGGGTTCAAACCAACCAACACTCCTATTGAACTTAATCACAGGCGAGGAGATACAGTAGTGGATGTAAGACAGTTCCAAGGACTTGTAGGGCAATTAATGTACCTCTCTATAACTCAGCCAGATATTGAATATGTTGTTAGGGTTCTCAGTCAACATATGCATGGCCTGAAAACCTCACATGTCATAGCTACTGAGAGGGTTCTGAGGTATTTAAAGAAGCATCCCGGCATTGTATGCTAACAATGGGCACTTGAAGGTTGAAGTGTACACAGATGCAGATTGGGCATGTTTTGTGAATGATAGAAGGTCAACCTCTGGGTAATGCATATTTGCGGTAACATGGAGAAGTAAGAGAAGTAAGAAGCAATCAGCGGTGGCTTGCTCAAGTGCAGAGGATAAGTATCGTGCAATGGAACATGGGGTAACTACCTAAGATGCTATAGGTGAAGAACATTCTCCTCGAATGAGGAATTCCTGTGGCTGAGCCTATGGCCATATATTGAAGTGATWAGGCTTCTAAAAGCATTACTAACAACCCTATTCTTCATGACAAAACAAAGCATGTTTTAGTAGATAAGCACTTTATCAAAGAGAAGTTGGAAATGAGTGACATTTGTCCTCCTTCCACAAGTCAGTTAGCCAATATCCTTACAAAAGGAATCCCTGCTCCTCATCATGTTAAACTTTATAACAAGTTGGAAATGTATGTGTGTTGTGTGTGTGTGTGTGTGTTATACATATTGTTGTTGGTACTGTTCTTAAACTATCAGTGGGTCGATTTATTGACTTTTCTCTGTTAAGTTGTAAGTAGGGGTACTTTTGTAATTTTCCTTTTGCTTAAACACCCTAATATACAAGTCAGTAAGGGCACCGCCCCTGACATCTTTTGCCAATTATTCTCTTCTTTTCTTCTACTGTTTCTCTCCTCTTCCTTCTCTTCCACTCTAGACGGAATCGGAGCAGGTTTGACAGCAGTTTAAGGCTTGAGTGGATGTTTCTTTCTCTTCTCCCTCTCTGTTTTCTCTAGAAAAGACTAAAACTTTCCAAATCTGAAAAGGATTTGATTGGGTAAGGGTTTCTTTGCTATTCTTTTATTCTTTTGGTCATAGGACCAAAAGGGTGATTGCTTGGGTGTTTCTCTTGTATCTTGTAATGGGGTTTTGAGTTTGTGGAGAGGTGTCTCTCAGTTTTTTTTTTTTTTTTTTTTTGGCAGTATATAACCTGTGAGATTTGGCTGAAGAGTTTTTCTTTCCTTTTTGGATTGGTGGTGTTTGAAGTTGTTTTCTACTACTGTTTTCATCTTGTGGAAGGAGTTCTTTGTCTTCCGGTTTCTAGAAGTGTGCTGTTAACAGACAGACAAACCTGTTTTTTTCTCTTGTTAGTGCTGTTTCTATCTTCTGGTACAAGTTGTTTCTGTAGTTGTTACATTTGTTGTGTTTGGGCAATGTCTACTAATGATTCAGCCATATCCAAAGTCGTTGGAGATCAGAATATGGTCAATCCAGGGGCTGAAAGCTAGGGTTTCCCTGTTTCTATTACTGTCCTTGACGGATTGAATTATTTGGTGTGGTCAAAAAGTGTTAGTATGTGGGATCAAAAGGAAAGCTTGGATATTTGTTTGGTGATGCCCCTCAAGACCATTATTTGATTATGTCTTGGTTTGTAACCTCCATCACCCTAGTTTGAGGAAGAACTTTATACGGACTGATACAACAAAAGAGATTTGGGATCAAGCTATCGTGTTCCCAAATTTCCTACCAACCATTGCTAGACAAGGTACCGTGCCCTTACATAATGGGGTTCTCCTCCATTCAATCTATCGTGTTCCCAAATTTCC